AAAAAATAATATAAAATAAATAAAAATTAAATAAAAATTATTATTATTTTTTTTTTTAATACTATACCTTGCAATGAGTTTATGATCTGATCTTATTTTTTTCGTGATTTATCATTGATAAAATAATATGACTTTTTTTTAAATATCATATATAGGTATAATAAATTTGTTTGTAAAAAATGTGTAAATGATGGTATAGATTTTTGTTTGAAAATTGATTGATTAATGAGTGACGATCTTGACAAATTGAAGAAGGTAATAAACCGGTATTGATTATTAAAAATTAGGAAGTGTTATTTTCCAGGGATAATAAATAGGAATAGATTATACTCAAATTATTAATTTCTGTTCTTTCATTTATTGATTTTTTTTTTTTTGTAGTTCCGCAATTTCTAAAAATAATCGTTTATTTAAATTTATATCTGTTTGTAAAATTTTTATTTTACTGTAATTAGGTCGATGTCCAGTATCAAAGGAATGTTTAGCAATAGCATTTGTTTCTTTTTGCAATCTTATGTCACTTTTAGTCCAGACATTCTGTTTTTTATAGTTTGGGAAGTTTGACCTATGTAGATTTTATCACAATTTGTACAAGGTAATTCATAAACAACTTAAGTTTTTAATTCTATTGGATCTTTATCTTTTAGTTTTGTATTCAAATTACCAATTGTTTTCATGATTTTAAAAGAAATTTTAACTGATTCATTTTTGAATAAATAAACAATTTTTTCTGAAAATGTTTTTATATATGGTATTGAAGAAAGAAATAGATTCTTGGTTGTTGATTATTTCGATTATTAATAGAATTATTTTGTATTATTTGTCCGTTTGATGATTGCCTATTATTATTATCATCAATAATATTGGTACCTATTGAAAATTATTTTATTTAATAAAGCATTTGGATATGAATTTTTCAATAAAATCTGTTTTAATTTTTTGAAATTTACTTCTTTCAATGATGGATGAACTAATTTTTCAATAATCCATCGAAAAAAAAACATCATTTACACATTTTTTACAAACAAATTTATTATACCTACATATGAAATTTTTTTAAAACAAGTCATAATATTTTATCAAAGATAAATCACGAAAAAAATAAGATCAGATCATAAACTCATTGCAATGTATAGTATTTAAAAAAAATAATAATAATAATAGTTTTTATTTAATTTTTTATTTATTTTATATTAATTTTTTATATATTTTTTATTCTCTTTAATATTATAGCCCTGAAGAAGGAATAAAGAGTTCCGAAAACTAGGCCTTTGTGAAAAGAAACCCTATTGATTATTAGCGGTCGTTATTAAGAAAAATAACTTGATTTTAATGTTTCTTGATTATGTTCAGTATTTATTGAAATATCATTTCGTTTTTATTATTTTTAGAAACTTTGTTTTCGTTATCTTTTGTCTTTTCTATATTATATTCAGTGTCCATTGGAATATCTTTGAGTTTTTGATATTTTCAGAAACATTCTCTTCGTTATTGACAATAATTATAAATGTTGATTGATGAATACGCCCAGTTAACTGGACTGGTAGGATATTTTAGTTAGGATTAAAATATCCCGATGTCCAGTAAAATCGACATCCACTTACAGCTTTCAAATTGACAGATATCTTACTTTGGATGTCTAAACAATGTATCTGTATAATTAATGAATTTGAAATACTATTATTTGCTTTTGGGCCCAGGGGGTTCATTCAATTTACCGTTGCACTCAACCTGTTAATTAAGCAAATCACTAAGGTAATTTTTATTTTTCAAGGTGAGATCCGCGTTTAAATTGATCATATGCATTGTTATCTTTCGACCCTTATCTTCGTTCACTTCATCACACTCTACTTCTACTTTTTCTTGACATATCTCTGCGCTTGTCAGTTTTTCATGTTCATCTAGTTTTATTTATGTGCTTGTGATATTTATAATCGGTATTTCAGCTTGTCCATGATCATCTAAATGAATTACGCAGCTTTCATAAAAATTTTGACATTATACAAATAAGTCTTGGTTTTTGTTATTTTCTGCATATACTGTAATGTAATAACCAACATAGTTTGATGATATTACGGATGAGTTTTGAGCCCATAAGTTCACTTTGGGCTTGAGCAACTCTGGTATCTTCAGATCCTTCAAACAGTCATCCAGTTATTCAGTTGTAGTGCCTCTTCGTATTATCACAATATGTTCTTGTTCGGTGAAAGGTTGTCCAATCAAAAATAGAATACCTAGAACATCATCTGATACTATGTTAATGTCAGTTCTAGCTTGCACCTGGTCTAAACCTATGTCAACATTTCTAGCTATGACAGCGGCTTGATTTTTCCTTCGCTAAAAGCTTTGATCCACAGCACTTGTCAGTTTTATCATACTTCAATTCTATGTTTTCAGCATCTGATAATCTCAGCCAGCATATTGCATTGACTACCTAAGTACACATGAGATTTTATGCTGTTCTCATTGACAGTTGCTTCCTGAAGATACTTCAGATTCTTCAGATTAGACCACTATTTTGTGAGTTTACGGCTATTGCTGTGGTTCGCTGGTTCATCTGAGGTGCTTCAGGGGGGTGTTGAGGGTTGATTCTGGGAGCAATATTTCGAGATGTGCCGAAATTTCTTGCATTTGAAACAAAGAAGTTTGCCTTCAGCATTTCTAGGTGGTAATTAAGTATCTCGAAGAGTGCTGTTGACCCTCTACTCTGGTATTACCAGCTTGTCGTGGTGTCTTAGCTGCTTTATTACAGCATGTCTGTGGTGCCTGGTTCTGCTTCGCACTTATTTTTTGAGCATTAGTCATGTTTTCCTTGTTCAAGTTAGTTCTATCGAAGTTACCTCTATGCATGCCAGTAAAACGCTGCTGACGCCTTCTTTCAATGTCTGCGTAGCTGTGCAAGTCTTGAAATAATGCATCTGTGCCATAATGCCTTTTTGTCCACATTGCATCGCACATTGATCGAGAATGTAACCCAATAAGCAATTGCATCTTTTTCTAGGCCTGAATCCGTGGCCAACTTTACTTTCTCATGAAAATGTGAATTTAAACTTTAATTTTTGCCCTGAACTCTGCTCTTTATTTTCTTAAATTTCAGTGCCAATAATGACAGACTGTTGAATAATTATAATAAAAGCTCTGTTTCAGCCGACATGAGAACCGTTCTAGAACGGTAATTTCCAGTCGATCAATTCATTTTTCAAGTAGGATAAACGTTCAACTTAAAAAATAGGTGCGCAACTGGAAATTACTGGTTCTGGAACGGTGTTCATGTCGGTTGGAACAGACCTAATGTCTAACCTTATGTCTAACACTGACAACTCGAGAAGTTGCCGTTGGATGCCGTTTGGGCCCAACGATTCAAGGGGTGCTGCCAATACGAAGCGAAGCCAAAGAGAAGCGAAAAATATAACCGTTAAAAGTGGTTATAACATAGAAAATATAGTCTTGAAAAATATATATATATATATATATATATATATATATATATATATATATATATATATATATATATATATATATATATATATATATATATATATATATATATATATATATATATATATATATATATTATATATATATATATATATATATATATATATATATATCTAGACTTGCCCTGGGGGCAGCCCGTCAGCCTCTTTCTCCTGGATACGCCAATGCTTCAACTAACCCAAACAAATGTGTATTTGGATTACGTTAGAAGTTTGAGGCTCGAAGGCTTAACCCAACGATTTCACCTAGTTGTGTAGCCGTGAAAATGTCTACTGCGATAGAAGAGGTGAGGTGACTTTTTTTGCTTTTGGAACAGGTATGAAACGTACAGGGTTATTGGTTATAAATGTCACCCCCCTCTATCTTTTTTATTTGACATTTTATAAAAAAGTGTCCCAAATAAAAATTTTATGGTTGAAATTGATTTTTTTGAAAAACTCACTTTTGCATATACAGGGTGTTTCAAAAACGCTGGTCGTGCTCCAACTTTCTTATTTTAGATTGAATACCCCGTATATTATTTAATATTCGGATTCTATGTCAAATTCTGAGCAGATTTCATGTGATATACCCTTTACCTAAGTTCAACTGTTTTGGAAATATTGACAGTTGAGAAAATTGACTTTTTTGTAAATTTGACAGGCTGTAAAACCTAAACGGTTAACTTTTGAGCAAAACCGATCTTACATTTTTTTCTAAGATTATCACAAGTTATCATTTGACACCAACTTTGAATTTAACCGAAGATTAAATTTAGTTGGAATTTTCAATCATGGATTAAATTCAAAGTTGATGTCAAATATTGGTGTCAACTGATAGTTTATAAAAATCTAAGACAAAAATGTAAGATCGGTTTTGCTCTAAAATTAACCGTTTAGGATTTACAGCCTGTCAAAGTTGCAAAAAAGTCAATTTTCAACTGTCAATATTTCCAAAATAGTTCAACTTAGGTATATAATATATTACATGAAATCTGCTCAGAATTTTACGTAAAATCTGAATATCCAATAATATACAGGGTAATCCATTTGAAATACGAAATTTGGAGCACGACCAGCTTTTCTGAAATACCCTGTATATGCGAAAGCAAGTTTTTCAAAAAGTTTAGTTCCAACCATAAAACTTTTATTTGCAAAATATATCAATTTCCTTTATATCGAACGGTTCCGATACCTCTCTGAATACGAATTTCGGATTTTTCTCACAACTATTTGCAGAGTTCTGAAACTCTTATAAGTCCGTCATGTTTTTCTAGAAGAACCTACACCAGTACAAATTTTCCAGAAATTCAAGACTTTAGAGCTTATACAATAATATTATGATGATAAATTAAATCTGATTGGTTCCTTAGTTCCTGTGCCTCGAATACATAATAATTGGTATTTATTCATTTTGGTTAATTCCACAGAAAAAAATATTATTTATTGCTCTGTTTACTTAAGTGAGCAAGGGTCAAAGTGATAAACTTGGGACGATTGTGTGTAACATTATCCAGAGTATATTTTAGTGTGATAGTTGTGCTTTTTGGGTCCAGAAATTAGTGATTTTAAGGAGAAATTTTGATGGATTTTTTTGGTACGATCTAAGTTCCTTATTACATTTTCTTTGAATGTGTTCGGTCGCATTATTGCCCTTAAATTTATTCACTTTAATCTTAGAACTTAAAATCAAATTTGAAAATAATTTATTTTCTTATCAATTTTATGGCCTTGTCAGGATATTATCAACTCTACGCCCACATAAATGGACTTCTCGTTTTTAGCAACATGTTGAAAATCTCCTTTTTTCTTATTTTAACGCCAAAACGGAATACATCTTCTATTATTAGACACCTACACCACAATATTCCATTCAGAAATATGCTAATTTATGCCCCAACATATACAAATATCTTGAAAGTAGGCATCATTATAGTCAAAATTCGCTTCTAGTTATATTAGATAACTTATTTTCTCGTTTATTTCGTTTCAGATTAACTCTTAAATCACAATGAAAGAACTCAAAGACTCTCCAGACACCGTGGAAACGGTACAGGATCACAGGAACCTCTTGGACTGGTCAGAAACAACAAACACTACCGATTTAGAGCACCATTTGCCGATTAATATGCAATTTAACGACGGTCATAGACTCTCAATTACAGTGTATAGTGTTTTAATGGTGTTTTCTGCCATTGCCAATATAACGGTTTTAGTGTTATTGATTAAACGGCGCAGGCAACAACCGTCGAGGATAAATACTATGTTGATGCATTTGGCTATTGCTGATTTATTGGTAAGATTTTTTATTTTTTTTTGCTTTTTCTAACAAAGTTTTCAATGTGTTTAAAAAGCATCCATACACTTGAAATTTGTGGAGAACATTTCTTCGAATGTCGACGTTTGGGTTATTTAAAGTCAAATTTGCCAGTCTACTGAAGCTAGTTATTGGGGAATTATGACCATGATTTGTCCGATTATAACCAACGTGTAGAGAAATGCAAACAAAGGAAGTTTATCTCCGGAAAATTACAGGTGTTGAACCGAAGGAAGCTCCAAACACACTGCTATTACCTCATACGCCCCAGCTTCACAAGCAAAATCCAACGACCCGTTTGGGTGTATAAAATTTGAATTTTGAAAAAACTTTCCAAAAACAATAAATTTTTGACAGCGTGTAGAAATTTAAATACCTGGAACTGGAGCTTGTACGATTGTTTATTGGCCTAATTATTATTCTAGAGAGAGAATTGTAGATTATAGATTTACTAATATCGCGTTCTTACACGGTATGTTTTTTTTGCCACCAATTTTTGAACCGTAGTTGCAAAAAAATGCCGCTCGCAAATTTATCGCTTCTTGTTATGTCTTCATAAAATATAATTTGAAAAAATGTAAGCCGTCCTGAAGGCTGCCTAACCGGTAAATTATTATCACGCGTATACACTCTTGAATAATGACAAATATCATAACATTTTATTCAGGCAAAGCTTACTTTTTAGGATTACATGCACATAATATGGTATCAGAATGTGAATAGAAAGTTACACACACAGTTTAGGCATAAATTAGTTAATAATTTAATCACAAAAACAATTTATTTAATACAGTCAGGCTTGTTGTGATATGTGTTGTCTTATAATCCGCCTAATCCAGACACTTCCAGAGGAAAAGAAATAGGATGAACCTTTGTCAAATAAGACTTGTTTAGATTTCGGATAAACAGAGAATGAAGAGGGGATTTATTCGATTGTTTTTTAGCCCTTCTCGCAATATTGATTTGGTGTTATAAGCCCTAACAAAAATATAATTAAATTGAGAAGAACCAGCGATTTTCAGTTTCTTGAGGAGCTAATTATGTAAGGATAACTCTCCGAGAAGCTACTTGGGACAGGCAAGGTTCCGCAAAAAAACCAGATTATATTTAATAATCAATTATTTATGCAAAATGCCACCATCAAGTATAAGCTACACAAAAAGTAGATGGCGCTTCGAAGCGACTAGACCTTGTGTGCGGGGAGCTCCCGAATCTTTGGCAAATTGTTAAGTTTTGTGATTTAAAATTATAACAACCTGTACCTGTAGGTTTTATAAGTGTTTATTTCCATATTTTATAAGGATTTGTGCGGGTTTCTGACAGAATGGCCGGAAAAACTCAAAAATTAACCTTGCAAGTTATGAGTACGCGCATTGACAGATTGTCGGAAACATTCACGAACTCAATGGAGGATTCCAAAAAACAGCTTATGGCAAAGCGCCTAGCCTTAGAAAATCAACAAAACGGCTCAGCAATTGTAAACTCCGATGAGGGGTTGGTGAAGGACTTTGAAAGTTTTCAACAGTCTATGAATAGTGCTATGTCAGCCCTCAAGGCCGATGTACAAAATCTCCATAGCAAAGATCGCAGTACACGTCTAAGGAATAACCTAAAGTGCTTCTTAATACACGGTATAGCTGATCCGAATTCAAAATCAGATTTGTACGGATCTGTATTGTCCATATTTAAAAATAAATTGAAATATGTTTTCGTTAACAAAAAAGGACTCAGAAATTCAAAAACTATGATTACTGAATTGTTAATTGATGAGAAGCTCTCGTTATTTAAGGATGTTAAGGAAAAATGTTGTTAATCGTGTTGGACTTACAGGAGGTTAATTTATGTGGAGTATGGAGGTATGAACGCAAGTTAGTGAAGAATAGGTCCGAGTTTGACAGTTTAACAGATTGGTGTCCCTTATTTTTAATTTTAAATTGATAACTGGGGTCTTTTGATTGGAAATACTGGGATAGTTTGTTGTTTTCCTTCCTGCATCTGTAAGTACTTTTTTTTTCTTTTTGTTTTTTTAAGATGAAGGGATAAATAATTTTGTTTATTGCATTTTATTTTATTTTTTTATGTAACACATATTATCTGTAGTAATTTGAAGGTATATTTTTGTTTTTTTAATTATTTTGTTGAGTTTGCTAGGGGGCATGTAGCATGTTCGTGTGTGGGATTTATTTCGTTTCGAGATTTTTTTTTCTTTCAATTTTCCCACCGATTTTGTTTTTTTATTTTTCATTTTAAAAAAGGGCTAGACATCTCCAGGCTACGCTATAAACTGTTTAAGGAAGAAAATTTATCTCATATTTTTTACCTTGTAACTGGTTTTTTTCTTTTGGCTCACTTGTGAATTAGGGGCTAGTTTTTCACTTTGGAAATGTTTTGTATAAGTAATAATAATGGTAACGGGCCTTCAAAAAAAAACCAATCAAAGATTGCTTTGATTACGAAAACGTACGTCGCATTATTGTTCCTTTATTGGACATGACATTCTGACATTGAAGTTCATTGACAAAATTAAAGAAAAATACTGCTAAGACAAAGGTACGTTTAAAAAACCATAGCAAACTTTGATTGTTTTTTTTTTTTTTTGAAGGCCCGATACAATGAATTGTTTATGTGCCTATTATGAGCCTGCTTAGTGTTTGGTTGAATAAAACTTTTAATTTGCAATGGAAGTAGCATACATAAATATAAGGTCTATGTTCACTGGTTTTAATGATTTTTGTACAATGGTTCAACAGAATAACTATGATGTGTAGTTGAGTAGTGATACGTGAAACATGGATAAATCAGGGAGAATTTCCACAAAACATATTTTATATTCCCGGTTATAATTTTTTTTTTTTAATAGACTTTTTGCGCGTGGGGGTGGAGTGGGAGCTTATGTAGAAGCTGAATATTCTTGTTCAAAAATTAATCTTGGATTTGTAGGTAATACATGAGAATATTGATCCGTTATTTTTAAAAATTATCATAAATAGAAAAACATAACTAAACCAGTTTCTTGAATTTTTGGATAATGCATTTTCTGTTGTTTGTGGCAGTTTTGACAGTGTCATTGGACTGGGGGATTATAATGTTGATTTTTTACAAGCACCAAACATTGTCACATAATGCCTTGACTCCTACAACTTAATACAAGTTATTACGATCCTACGAGAGTTACTCGCAGAACCAGCAAATTAATTGATCCTATTTCTGTTTCGAAGAATCTCTTGGTAAAGATGTGCGGCACATATTTCTGACCATATATCAGTCTTCTGTCATATTACTGCAGATAAAATGAAAATGTCCCCAAAAATAGTAACTTTTCGCGATTTTAAAAATTTTAACCATAATAACTTCTTAAATGATCTTTACCATCTTCCCTGGCTTAATGGAAGAAATTTTTTTTGAAAACAGGAATATATTTCAGTATATGTAGTTATAACAGGTTTACAATATACAGTGAGGACATAAAGTCCGTCGCCCCCCTTTAACTTTTGAACCGCTCGGTATATTGCAACGAAATTTGGAATGATGATATGTGAGCAAATTCTGCATTTTTTGAAAAATAAATGACAACTGAGCGCGCTTTTGAAACGTTTTTTTTAAATAGAAGGCGGTGTCGAGTGACATATCGTTTTAAAAGTCCCTTCATTCTTAATTTAATTCCCGATTCTGAAAACATTTTGGTTTAGCGGTTTTCAAATGATGACGAAAAAACAAAGGTTTGTTTTGCTCATGAAAATTTTTTTTTAGTAATTGAATCAATAGACGGTTACACACGGACGTGGATGGCTTGATACATATACGTGCATACATCAACGTGCAAACAACAACATGCATGTCACTTTTGTACAGACGCTCGCACAAAACTGTCAGTCTTGCTACTCTTGCTACAGTATTCTGAGTGTGCATACAAAATTTCTAGCGATTCCAGAATTCATTTGAGTGTCATTCTACAGTTTGCACATTCAAAAACGCGACGGTATTTTGCATACACATTGATGTTTTTGTTTGCGCGTTCATGTATGTGCGTACATGTTGCTCACATATCATCATTCCAAATTTCGTTGCAATATACCGAGCGGTTCAAAAGTTAGAGGGGGGCGACGGACTTTATGTCCTCACTGTATATGTTCTCTAAACAGTGCTTTGAGCACTGGTATCGGAGTAATAAAGTACTAATTTGTTCGAGTAAGATTCTATAAACAAAAAATAATAATGTCTATAACTTTGACGTGCCAGGCTATATCACAAGATGTAAACTGAATATTAATTTCAATTTTTTAAGGACCTGTTTATATGTTTGTACATTTCTAATGTCGTCTAATATAGTTATTTTCCTAACAAGTGCGCAAAGTGTTACTTTTCCGCACGCAAACATAGTTATACGAACGACGCAAAGCGGAGTTCGGATAAGTGTTTGCGTGCGGAAAAGACACTTTGCGCACGTGTAAGGGCAAACAAATTTCCTACGAGCTTCATATCAGATAACAACGGCAACAAAAAAAACGGCAATTTGTTCAATTACTTTTAATTTCTAAAAACAATAATAATTTCTATATATTTTTTTATTTTTCATTTCCGCCCTTAATACTTTCAAAAATTGATTAAAATCAAATCAATTTTGCATAACTTTGTTCCAATTCAAGATTTGTAAAGTTAGCTTAGATTTTTAATTTTTTATGGAATCACAAAGTTCACGTTTCTTGCAATGATATTCAACACAACTTCAAAATGTCGCAATTTTTTTTTTTAACAAGTTAAAACATTACTAATGATAATATGCATATTAAAAAAACTCTCCTTAAAGTGCAAAAGCTTTATTTTATTTAGGTAAATTTTGCTGAATTTTCTGAAATAAAGGTACGTTACAGTACAATTTTGATATTTTTTGATACACCCTGTATGCTGTTTGACTTTTTTTTATAGTAGGGATTGGAAATGCATTATGCACGCCTAGGGCATTGGTCTTTGGGCGCCCT